ATCAAAAGCTCAAGATTTTGAGAAATGGTGGTGGTGGAGAATATGTGTCAAAATACGTCGACGTGTTATGTGAGAAAGAAAGGATTATGCACGAGGTGGTGTCACCCTACACTCTACAACAAAATGAAACTGCATAAAGGAAGAATCAAATCATCATGAATATGGTAAGAAATATGTTGAAAGGAAAGCATTTTTACCTAAGGAATTTTGGGGTGAAGTTGTCTCGACTACAACTTACATTTTGAATAGATATTTGATGAAGAAGCTAGAAGGAATCCTGCCAGGAGAATATTAATCTGGTGTCAAGCCTAGCTTGATTCATCTGAAGGTGTTTGGATCTATAGCACATAGACATGTGCCAGATCAGTTGAGAAGAAAACTTGATGACAAGTCGAGTAAAATGATCTTAATAAGATATCATTCGACTAGAGGTTACAAGTTATTTGACCCAGTAAACAAGAAAGTAGTGATCAACAGGGACGTGATCATGGATGAGCTTAAATAATTGGATTGGACTGAAAATATAAACAAAGATTCTATGAGAATCTTATGTGAATAACCAACTGCTAAAGTCGAAAGAGAAGAAATCCGACAAGAAGAAGTGATAGGTGACGTATGCCCAAGAAGACCTCAAAAAACAAGACACATGCCTGCAAGGTTGCAATATTGTGTGATTACATCAGATGATGTGATTGATAATGAAGGTGAGATGGTACACTATGTTTTTATGCAGATGTCAAACCAGTCAATACAGTTGATGCATTAAAGGATTCGGAGTGGGTGAAAGAAATGAATGAGGAAATTGAGTTAATCGAAGTCAACAACACCTGGTCACTTGTCAAATTTTCTCAAATGGGTATACAAGGTGAAGTTGAATCCCAAAGGGGAAGTAACTCGACAAAAGGCAAGACTTGTGGCGAAAGGATTTATTTAGAAGGAAGAAATCGACTTCAATGAGGTTTGTGCACCTGTTGTCAAGATCTAAATAATTAGGTTGGTTGTTGGTCTAACAGAAATAAACAATTGGAACATATGTCAGATTGACGTGAAATGTGCATTCCTAAATGGACCCTTAGATGAAGAAGTTTATGTTGCACAACCAGTTGGATTTTTGAAGCATGTCGATGAAAGAAAGATGTAAAGGTTGAATAAATCCATGTGTGGACTTAAACAAGCTCTAAGAGCTTGGAATAAGAAGATTGACAGTTTCCAAAGAAAGAAGGAATATGTGAAGTGCACAACTGAGTATGTAATATATGTAAGAATAAGCAAGAGTGGATTGCTTACACAATGTCTCTATATCGATGACTTGTTAATAATATGTAGCTGCAAGAAGGAGATCCAAGACTTCAAAGGTGATCTCAGCAAGGAATTCAAAATGTTTGATCTGGGAGACATTTCATATTTACTTGGCATCAAATTCTACAAGAGTAGTAGAGGATTGATGATGCATCAAATAAGATATGCAAGTGAAATTCTTAAGAGATTTGAGATGGAAGAAAGCAACTTGACTTTGACACTTGTTGAACCAAGATTGTAACTGTCAAAAGATTCAAATTTAGATGATGTCGACTCAATCCAATACATAAGACTTATTGAGTCATTGAGATACCTTTATCACACAAGACATGTCTTAGCATACAATGTTGGTATGATGAGTAGATTCATGCGGAAGCCAAAGGTTTCACACATAGCAACAACGAAGAGGATACTGAGATATCTCAAAGGAACTCTCGACTATGAACTTTTATTTCCTACAGTTGATAAAGGAAAAGAATGCAAGTTAGTATGATACATTGACTCAAGTTGGTGTAGTGATGCTGAGGATAGAAAATCCATAGTTGGTTATGTGTTTATGCTAGGTGGTGCACCAGTTGCTTGGAGTTCAAAAAAAGAACTAGTAGTGGCACTATCATAGTGTGAAGCTGAGTACATAGTTGATTCTCTTTGTGCATGTCAAGCAACATGGATGGTGAATATGGTCGAAGAGATAACTGGGAAGAATCATGGAGCAATTACCATGAAGACCGACATCATGTCAATTATCAATTTGGCGAAGAACCTGGCAGCACATGGTCGAAGAAAGCACATCGAAATGAGGTTCCATTATCTTCGAGATTATATAGCAGAAGGAAAGATGAACTTGGAACACTACACAACTAAGAATCAGATTGCAGACATCATGGCGAAGAGAGTGCATGTCGAAATTTCAAAAGACTAAGAGCTATGAGAATGTTATTAGCTTAGACAGAATGAATCCGGTGGTGTATTGAGATAGTAATCCTTGTGTAAAAACAACATGTTTCTAGACAAAACAAGGGTGAGTCGAAATAGTCTAATGTGTGTGTCGATTTGTATTAGATTTCAAGTGTCGAAGCAGGTTGCTTTCGACTTAGACCAAAATAGGTATTTTGGGCTTTTATGTTTTGGGTTTTGCCTTAGGGATCTAACCTAAAACTATAAATAGATGTAGTAACCCCTATTATTTGACACAACTTGTATTCACAGAATTTGCAGTTGCAAGTGAATAAGATTTTCCACAGTTTGTGGGTAGATAGTTACTCTGCAGAAAATTATTTTCTACTTATTTTGTCAAATCCTAATTCTTTCATTGTTATTGTGTATTGATAACAATCTTGTTTATCAAGATTGATAGAAATTCTCCATAAGTTTTGATGAATTTCCAACAGTATTCAGTTAACTCCAATTTGCTTATGTTTATATTCGTCTAATAGATATACTAGCGTCCAGACGAACACTCACGTGCCCGTTTATCTGCTTTCTCTAATACAGACGAACATAAAATATAAACCGTATTATATTTTTATTTAATTTTATTTTTTTAAAATATTTATAAGTGTCGTTTAAAGGGAAAAAGAAGTTAAGATTTAAAATATACTTAAATAGTATTTTAGTTCTTGTAAGTTGGCGAGTTTTTGATTTTGGTCTTAATTTTTTTTTTGTCTAAGTCCAAACACCAATGTAGCAAACAACGCTAACATGACGACCATGTTTTTTTTAATATTTATTTATTCCACGTAAACTTTGCATTTTTTTATTATTTTAATCCCTATTGGTGTTAAATAATACATTTCCAAAAATTATGGGCAAGAGATTTCGAAACATAGACCTCTTATTTAAAAGAATAATGTCTCTCCACCACACCATTTATGCTGCTTGGTTAATATTTGCAATGGTTGTGTATATAATGGATATTAGTATAATATTTCTAATGATTTTAAATATTAAATAGTTAAGGTATATATATTAATATACTTAAACCTATTTTATTTATTTATTTTCAGTTTATTATTAATGACTATTTAATAGTTATTTAATTATATATATTATAATACCCATTTTGAAATTTAAATAATACTTAAAAGTTATATTTATTTATACATTTATATATTATGTATAAGAAATTTATATATTATTTATATATTAATACTGTTTATTTAAAATACCTATACATTTTCAATAATATAATTTTTTATAATTTTTTATTTCAATAATAAATATATGTTTTATTTAAAATGAATATTACATATTTATATACTTAAACATGGATATATTTATTTAAAAATTCATTTTATTTAAGAATAATATTCATTAAGTTAAATATTAAATAATGGGATTTTTTGTATTTACTTAAATTATTTTATTTAAAACATATATTTATTTCATGGAAGGAATTTTAATTTGTGTAAACTTATTCATAATATACAAACAATTATTTAGCAGTAAATATTTTAATATTTAATTTATATTATTTAACTATTAAATTAGTTATTTTACTATTTAATATTTTAACTCTTTATATTTAAACTCGTTAAATAATTATTTAGTTTATTAATTATTTAATAATTATTTAATATTTAATTAAAATACTTCATTAATAATCAAAATAATTAGAATATTTAATTAGTTTATTAAATTCAATAGTTAAATATATCTTAACTATTTAATATTTAAAATAATTATTTTATTAAATATACCTTAACTATTTAATATTTAAAATAATCAATTATTTAATAGTTATTTATATTTAACTAAAATAATTATTTAATATTTAATTAATTTATTAAATTCAATAGTTAAATATACCTTAACTATTTAATTATTAATTGCTTATATTTAACATTAATATTTAATATTTTAAACAAAACACAACTCATTTTAAAAAATTTCTTTGTAAAATAAAATTTCACACAATTTTTTTCAACACAAATTATTTTAATTATTATTTAATTATATTTGACATTTTAAACAAAACCTAACATCACTATATAAAAGGCAATTTATTACTATTAAAATAAATATTCTGTTAATATCTTCTATCTCTCTCTCTCTATATATATATATATATATATATATATATATATATATATATATATATATATATATATATATATATATATATATATATATATATATATATATATATATATATATATATATATATATATATATATATATAGCAATTAATAATCAAACAACATAAGTGATTTAGTGGACAGGTAGCATTGCTGTAAACTGGTTGTCCTAGGTTCAAAATCACTTATGATCATTAAGACTAAAAAACTATAACTTATGGGGACCAAAATTATGTTTTGCTTTTATATATTAATATAGATGATATAAATATTTCTGAAAGAACATATTTTAAACTTATTTGTTATCTTTTTAATGTACTTGCCAAAAACATTTGATGAAATAGATATATAATTAAGCTCAATAGAAAAGATGAATATTTTTGTCTTTCCACTAATATGCTATAACTCAAACACTACATAAATTAACTTCTACAAAAAACTATAAACTTTTGGCAAAATATTATAAACTTACAATAATGGTTTTCGAATAATTATGTATAGTCATCCTAAAAAAATAGTCCATCAAAATTCGGACTAAAAATTAATCATCGATAAAATTTGATTAATACTTAAATCAACAATAAAGAGTAGCATAGTATGAAAAGGAAGGAAGCAGAAAGAAACCTGTGATAATCGCAGTAAGTCCAGTTCCATCGATTCCATGAGTAACCTCTTCTGCAGTGGAAGATAACGAAAAGCCAGAAGCACTCATGATGATTCTCTCTCTGTTGTGATGAAGAGTGATTGTAGATAACGTAACATGTTTGTACTACAACTTCTTATATATAGAAAAGTGTCATTGCTCTTTGATTGGTCCACGTTTTTGGTTTCTTGTTCTTCTTGGATTATTATTATTCACTTCCTTTCGGTTTCTTTTGTTTGCTTTCTATTTGTCTTTCTACCTCAGCCGGCTTAATACGTATATCATCTTATCTTATGAGTTTAGTTAAGGCACTAAAATGAGTTTGTTTATGTAGTCCAGCATCAAGTTGTAGGAAGCATGTATAATGTCCACAAAGAAAGATGCTAATTTATACATTTTAGCTTAATCATAATAAACAGCAATAAATATTTAATTATCAAATGTGGGATAGAGACAAATTGCCTGCGGAGGAGGAGTGACATGAAAAAAAAAAAAGTTAAAAGAGAATAATAAGTAGAGAACACAGAAAATATCATTCCTAGTAAGCTTTTAAATCCACTTATTTCTGTTCAAGAAAAAAAATGTGCCTTCAAAAGCTGGAATTCAGCGACAACAATTTTCTCATAAACGAAGAAATGTATCCTCTACCAGAACTCCCAAATGAGGGTTTAATATATTCACTTACCAACCTCTCTTACATTTCCCTCATTATAATCAGTGATCGAAAACGGTCTAGAAAATCTATCTTTAAGGGATATATTTATTGGTGTGATAAAGCGGCAAGTAGAAAGTAAAGTTTTATTTTATCGGGTGATATTTAAGTTCTATTGTATTTTGTCCACAGAGATTAGGTGCGAGGGAAAAACTATCGTTCAACAGTTTCAATCTTTCTAATTTTGAAAAAAGATTTGCGGAAAAAGTGCGGGAAAAGTAAATAAAACAATAAAAAAAACGATAAACAATCATCTGCATCCTAAGAGAATTCATTCTGGAATCACATTTCACTCTATCCGTCAAATACTTAAACTTGCAGATCAATTGCACGCAACCTAAATCACTCGTCAATACCATCACGTATCGCTCACACTAAGGCTATCTCTACGCAAAGTGAGACATCACCCATATTGCTCTCGGAGGCGATCTTGTGCGCAACTCAAACAATCCAGATACATTTCATACAATCCCATAATCAACAAATGTACATACATAAAGAGTAAAGATATACATACAAAATTCACACTACTAAAAAAACAACATTTGAGAAAAGGTTTTTACATCAGGTATAAAAATATACGATGTAAAAAATAAAATTAAAAACATTTTACATCAGGTATTTATTTGCAATGATATAAATAATATGAAGAAAAAAAATTTCGCTATCTATTACATCGGGCCATTTAATCCACCGATGTAAAAGGTTTCGTGAAAAGAACACGGTGGCAATTTTGTAAATAACAAACCAGGTGACAGAATTGTAAATAAAAAACACGCCAGATATTACATCGGTTCCTGCATTCCACCGATGTAAAAAAGTCCGTGGCAGATTGGTAATATAAAAAATAGGCTAACCCTTACATCGGGTCATTTATTCCACCGATGTAAAAAACATGAAAAACCTTACATCGGTCCTTTCGTTAAACCGATGTAAAAAACCTCAAATTGTAACTGCTACATCGGGCCAATGCTTGCACCGATGTAAAAAACATAAGCGCCTATGAACCCTTACATCGTGCCAATACTTGCACCGATGTAAAAACTAATATATATAATTTGGAAATAAACCCAGACTGCGAATTATTTCGTCATTGTTCCACTTCTCAGTCCGTCTCGCCTACGAACGCACCCTCAGTGCTACTCCGTCTGTATCCGCCCGTCTCGCCTACACCGTCTCCGCCCGTATCCTCCCTCCGCCGTCTCCTCACAGATCCGCCGTCTCCTCACATATCCGCCGTCTCCTCGCAGATCCTCCGCCGACTGCACGAAGACGGAGGCGTTTCTCCATCCGTCACATTGTCGCCGTCTTCGAAACCTCCTCCGCCGTCCAACTACGATTCCGGTACGAAACTTTCTATTTTGTTCAACTTCATTGTATATCTATGGATTTCTAAGAGTTATATGGTGGTGATTGGTGGTTTTTTGGATTTCTCTAGTAACCATTTTATCAAGAGATTGGAAGGTAGTAATGTTAATGGTTGGATTGATTCAATGAGAGCTGCTTCTCCAACTCGTGTCAAATCTTCTGAAAATTACCAAGAAAAATGTTCATGGATTGTAATATATATATATATATATATATATATATATATATATATATATATATATATATATATATATATATATATATATATATATATATATATATATATATATATATATATATATATATATATATATATATATTTGATAAAATTTAATAAATTCAATTTTTATTATGTTGCTATTATTTTCGTCTTACTCTATTGTTGTTATTATGTTGTTGTTTACAGCTTTATCATCCTTCAGCACTGAAACTATTTGATCAAATATTATTTAGTTCTAAAGGAAAACAGATTGTGTTTTTTCTCGACGACGATGGAACTTTCTCTCCTATTGTTGCTGATCCAGATAAAGCTTTCATGACTAGAAATGTTTTTTTTTCATTCCTATGATTTATAAAGTGTATTCTTATGATTTTTTTATTAATTTGGTTATTATTATTTTTTAATGTTATAAAAACAGATGAGAGGAACACTTAGGGATGTAGCAAAACATTTCCCTACAACAATTGTGACCGGAAGGTGCAGAGACAAGGTACATTTTCTTCAAAAACTAAAAATAACACAATTTCTAATTAAATAATTAATTAAAATTCTCATCACAATGTTTGTTTCAGGTATTTAACTTCGTAAAATTAGGAGAGTTGTACTATGCAGCAAGCCATGGTATGGACATCATGGGACCAACAAAAAACCAAAGTGTTGAAAAAGTGAGATAATTAATTTCTGTCACTAGTTAATATTATCTTGAAGTTTTCTCTTAATTTTTGTTCTTTCTAATTAGCTTTGTGAGTTCTTGCTTTGTTCCAGTGTATAAGTGATAGTAACAAACCAGTTTTGTTCCAACCTGCAAGTCAATTTCTACCGATGATCGACGAGGTTCGATTTTATTGGCATTTTTCAACATATAGGTTATTAACTAATAACTGTATTGTCAGGCAATGTGATTTTGGTGTTGTCTACCGAAGCTATAACTCATCTACTTGTGGATTTTATATTGGTAATTCAAGTTTGGAAAAAGACTTATAAATAGTTGAATATTTTTGTATGTTTTGTGAAGAATATATATTTGTAAGTTTGTTGTGAGTTTGTTTGTTGTGATACAATACAAGTTTGCAATACAACTGTTCATTTTGTAAGTTTGTTGTGAAAAATATGAAAATATCGACCTATATGTGGTCTATGTGATGTTGGAAAGTTATGAAATCTATATAGCGACATAAATATAGTCCGTGTGATATTGAAAAAAATATGAAAAAATGGGTACCAATTTTTTTTTACAGGGAAACATCCAGAAAATAAATAATTTATTCTAAAAAAATTTCTTACATTTTACATCGGTTATTACTCCCAACTGATGTAAAAACTTTCAAAACTGTATATATTACATCGGGCTTAGATGACAACCGATGTAAAAAAGGGACCTTTTACATCGGTCCACACGTTTAACCGATGTAAAAAGTTGCGTCAATTTTTTTTTAAATAATGTTATAATTGTTTTTTACATCAGTCTTAGATCACAACCGATGTAAAAAATAGACTTTTTACATCGGACCCAGAACTGGTGTAAAAAGTATCTGATTTACTATATCGCCTGACTTTACATCGGACCCAAAACCGATGTAAAAAGTCAGTTTCACCCGATATAAAAAGTCATTTCTGCACTAGTGTCACAATTGGAATGATACATAGGAAAGAAAGAGATGAATAGGAAACTTCTCACGGTGTCAACACAATCCGAGACAGCCATAACTAATTGATAAGATGCACCACCCAATAATGTTGGGTAAACCTCTAAGATACAGAAAATTGGATCAGAGCTCCTCCATGAGGAAAAAAGATGATAAAACCTAACAAAATTTGTTTTAGATCTATATATACAAAACTAAGTTACGCATACCGCGTTAAGCGCCAACTTCTGCGCTAAACTCGCACTCACTTATTCACTAAACCGCCTTAGAGCGTGTTAAGCGCCAAATACCATGCTAAGCATGCTCGCCTCTTCCAGCTTTTTCTCTTCAGCTCCCAGAGCACGCTAAGCACGCAGAGACCGCGCTTAGCCCTGTCTGTAACACTTATTTCTTCCAAAATTACGCGTTTGAAACCGTGTCTTCGACACTTTAATTCTCATGCTCCAAATTCACATCAATACCTACAAAAATACATTAAAACTATAAAAAAAGTATATAAATGAATCGAAAACGTAATAATACGTAAAGCATACATATTTACACACAAAGCAGGAAATTATTCAACAAATATTACCAAAAGAACTGATAAGTGCCACAAATTATATACACAAAATAATGATATTTTGGCACTTATCAAACTCTCCCCAACTTGAACTTGTTTGTCCTCAAATAAGGCCAAACAACTCGAAGAACAAAAGTAATAAACCAAAAAATCATGAATCAACAAGTTTTTAAAACGGAAAACAAATGTATGGTTCAAATAAAAATGTACAAGCAAAGTAAATAATGACCATTATCCTACAACGGCAACATGTAAACAATAACGAATCCTAAGTACAAAAATCTACTAAACATTCTAAAACAAAACAAGCTCAATCATGAATCACACCTAGCAAAAATTCATCGGTAGATGAAGAACACACAAAGGTAAGGAATAAAAAACACCCATCCACAATCTTGCAAACAATAGACTAAATTATGCGTTCATCCAAAAACTCATATTGAAAATACAAAGACAAGAATCACAAGGGCTTTTCAAGGTTGTAATGCGGCTTGGTTAACAAACAAGGGATAAGTCCTAAAGCTAATTGAAACAAAAACTTGCCTTAATTTAAGGGAGTGA